ATTTAAGTCAAACTCAACTTGGTTTATGGTTACTCCATAAAATAAAATGTGAAATTGTGTTGTGAAGGACATGAATTATTTTTCAGTTTCTGAACTGGGACATGACAACAAAAGTTTTAGAACCGCTCCCCTAATGTAATCCAGTTCCACAGCATGGAAAGAAATCTATCTTCTAATGATAAACCACATATTTAAGAGTAAATAATTCCTGGATTTTCCGCATTTTATCTTTGTATTGCAATCAGTCAAATTAGTTGTTTTTCCAACATTCAATGATCAGACCTTCATTACTGAAAAGGTGCACTACATATTTATATACCTGACGATTCACAGCTTGGATAACTCATCTGACCTTTTGTCCTCTGTCTTTGTCTTTAGTACCCAGTCAGCCTCCTCAGAATGTGCGAGCCATCTCTGTAACATCTGACGAAGCAGTTATCACATGGGCTGAGCCTCCAAGACTGACACTTCACGGTGTATTGAAGGGATATCGTGTTGTTTTTTGGGCTGTTTTCCCAGATGGAGGTGTGTTGAGTTTGTCTTGTTATATCCAGGTTAAATCGCGATCACTAAATGTCTCAGGTTTGCATTCTAATCTTCTCTCTGTCCTATTGTCTAACAGAGTGGGGTGAAATGCAGAACATCACAACCACCAAAGAGCAAGTGGAGCTGAGAGGCCTTGAAAAGTTTACTAACTACAGCATCCAAGTGCTGGCCTACACCCAGGCTGGGGATGGCGTCCGGAGCAACGTCCTTTATATCCAAACCCGTGAGGACTGTGAGTCTGTATTTTACTAGCTCTGACCAAACAGATAAACCAAGTGAAGAACTGACCTCCAGTCAGGAAGAGTCATTTACTTTCCTCACATCTTTGGGGCAGGTTTAAGGTTTTTTGTTTCTTTTTCTTGGTTTAGGCAGCAATGTGGGAGGCAGAGAGCCAGCGGGGGTAGAGGGGGTCTTTGTAAGGCTGAGGTTGCTGATTAAAACCTCTTTGTGCTCTGATGTGCCATTACCAGTGCTAATGAGAATTAAGAAGCCAAAAAGTGTGTGTGTGGTTAAGGACCCTAAGGGTGTCAGTCTGTGCACGCGGGTATCTGGAGGTGTGTGTGTGTGGAGATGGGTGGGGGGTTAAGTCTGTCTGTTTGCAGGTGTATATGGCTTTGTGTTGGCGTGCATGCACGAGTGCATGTGTGTGTACATGCCCTATTGTTTGTGTGCAAGTCTACCCTGGCACCCAGCACAAGGAGAGGGATTAATTCTTTGTGGCTTAGAGAGAATTAATTTTGTGCTTACACTGGCGGTGCTGTGGATTACATCCGTATCCGCCTCTCCTCCACCTCCCTGGGGCCAGGCAGAGGAGAAGGCAGGCGTCTGGAGATGAAGAAAATGAGGGAGAGAGGGAGTGCAGGAAAGAGAGGGGAGCAGAGATTCTAAGATGTGTCGTTTCAGAAAAGGCCTTTATTCTCTTTTCACCACCATATCTCCATTTTATGAGCTGGCCCCACTGCAATTGCTATTCAAATATGTCTATTGTGTTAGTCTTTGTGTGTGCATGTGTGAGAGTGTGCGTGTTTATCAGGGGCAAACTGAGTGTGTCTTTTTTCCCTGATGCGGGTTGACACTGTGTCCAGGGGCAACCTCTTCACAAACGCTCAGCGTTTTCTGTATTTTCCCTTTGCCCTCGGTTCTCTCCGCAGCACATGGAAAAGTGTTTGCTGTGCAATTGTGCAAACAGCCAGTTCTCAGTCTGTCGTTCTCTGCCTCTGTCTCTTACATGAATAAACATAGAAGACAGCAAGCATAAGAATATTGAAGACCGGGATTAATTTTTCAGCCTTATATCTAGGGGACCACAGTATTTGGCTCTTTGAATGTGTGGTTACATGTCTTCATTTGTGGGTTTTATGTTAAAAATACTATTTTGGTATAAATTCCAATGTTGTCAAGTTCTCTCAGGATTTTCTGACCTTTGACTCTAAATGAACTCATATCTCTTAATAATATTTAAGTATTGCACAAATACCTCTCATATTAATAAATCCTAATGTCATATTCTGCTGGTGCTCGGCCAAATACAAATTTCCATCAAAAACAGCCTAATTTCTGGACATCACTGAGTAAGGGAGTTGTTGGTCATAACATACATTGTTGTTATAGATCATGCATTTTTAAATTTTTTGCTCAGTATGAGCCTTAAATGGTGATAGTAAAAAGAGAATAATCATTTTCTCTTTATGGAACTTAAGGCATATTGTCTGTTCTAAATGTATGTAAAGCTACAGGTGTCACTAGTGTCCAAATGAAGACTTTCTCATAAGATGTGGTTTATAATGAAGTGAGGTCTTAAATTAATTAATTCACCAGTAGTTTCATACTTAGTGGGGCTGATGAGGAGAAATCTTTATTTGGGAAGAGGTTGAGGACTACAGTCATGCAGCATAAGGCCTTTTTTAGGGCTTTATAAATGATAATAAAGAACCAATAGATTTTTAGAATGTATAATAATACACTACTATATGCAGGCTAGTATGCATATAGAGCAGCTGGTATACCGCTAGTCATGTTCTTAACATCATTATCTGTGCTCTATTAAATGGCAGAAAATACTGAAATATTCCTTTTGTATTTTCCCATAAGCCAGGCTATTGATCACTGGAGTTCTCTCTCTAATATTGTAGGGTTTTACCTAATAATATTAACAAGCGCTTCGAGACAGCTGTTATTATGATGTGTAAAAGAAAGTTGAATTGAATTTCTGACTGCTTGTTTTGTCAAACTAATAGTCTAAAACCCAAAGATGTTCAATTTACTGCAAATAATAAAGATGAAAGGGAAAACTACTTCCCGTTTACTGTAACCACATTGAAATATAAGTGGTTCACATTTTACTCAGCCCTCCATTTCTTTCTTTTTAGACCCTGGACCCCCAGCTGGCATCAAAGCTGTGCCCTCCTCTGCCAGCAGTGTCGTAGTGTCGTGGTTGCCCCCTCACAAGCCAAATGGAATCATCCGCAAGTACACCATTTACTGCTCCAGCCCCGGGTCAGGCCAACCGGTAAGTTACAAGAGGGGCGCAGAGAGTTTCACGATAAACAAATGAATTAAAGTGGAAAAGTGAAGGGGACAAGACCCTATTTTCTATGCAGAAAATAGCTTCTGTTAAACATTTTATATGTTGCTGAGATAAAACTCATTTGACTTAATTACAGCGTTTGCGTGTGTG